TGGGGGAAGGGGTTTCGTCTCACGTCGCTTCGCACGGAATGGAAATGAAAAAGTTGGGATTTACGACGTTCACGTCAACGTTTCCAGACTCAAGCAGAACTCAACTCTTTACACCTCAACGGGGGAAAAGAAATCACGACTCTCAAGCAGTGATGAATCGACTTGAGCAAGAAAGACATGTTGAACCGTGCCAAAGTTCATACATCAGACACAGTTATTTCACACGGAATTCCGGCAACCCGCTGCCTTCCGACATCACCGGCTAAGAATATAGTAATTACGCGAAGGTTTTGCTGGTATTTTCGCAACTGTGCCGAAAAGCTTAAACATGAGCGCGGAAAAAAAAGAGGAATGAAAAAAAATAACCGGAGGAAAAAGTACGCCGTTAAAGCCTTCAAGTCAGGGATAAAAAGAACCAACACTGCAATACCATGAAAAAAAACGTAGGAAACGCACGAAGAATTTTCAAGCATAACCTTTGGCGAGCAAAAAATTTACGATTCAAAACTACTGCATAAGATTGGCATTTTCAATCACAGTTCAGACACCGAATCATCGGAACCGAAACAAATAAATCACTCGATTTTCGCTGCTGGGTCATAAACTATTGCATGCAAGAAAAGTTGACAAAGAAATGCTGACATAAAAAAAATATATTCCGAAAAGGTACGTAAGAGTTGACATTTTATTCATGAAAAATAAATTCTTCAGCGAGGTTCTCAGGCGTTCCACTAATACTGATCGAACTTCACCGTTTGCTTGAAACATTACTTTCCAGATATGTCCATTAACTTTTGAATTTCCGGGAACTGCTTCGTGAAAGTACTGTCGACATTTTTTAGATGGCTTTCAAAAACGTTATTCTCCACTATTCATCACATTTAATCGTTTTGTCGTTGAATAACATTTCTTAGACCATCAGTCTACAGAAGGGGAAATGTAGAGAGGAGGAGCAGCAGCCCCTCCGAAACCCCCGTTCGAATCACGTCAAGAAATGTACATTTATTTCCTCCAAACGATTTCGTCTGCAATGCCAGAAACAACAGTTGACCCCCAAGGACTTTCTTTGTTTCATTCGCTGAATGGGACGAGGATAAGCAGGGAGAAGAAGAAAAAAAAAACTCAACAAGGTATTGCTTCTTCCAAGAGAATGTATCCCAATGATGCAACAACATCCGCGTCACATCGCACAGGACCAGAAACATCTACGTCCCAAATGACCTTACGAAAGGTCGATCCGCAATCCTGCGGTCACACGCCACCTCATTCCCACACCTGCCCAGCGTTCTTATTCCATTTTCCTAGCCCATGAAAGCCGCCTCTCCAACCACGGCGGATAAAATACCTTATTTATACGTGAAAAATGGGCATTTCAGAATACGATTCTTGTACAGGTACATTTTATGATATCTTCTCGGATTGGAAAACTGAAAGAGAAAAATAAGTAAACTTAAAAATGGTCTGCTATCGTACGGAGACGAAATGTATTTTCACGTAATTCTTCTCGCAAGCAAGCATCGGCATCAAAAATACAGACAGTACATAGAATACAGTACATATTGTAAATTATAAAACGCTCTGAAACTCGTACGGAGAAAAAATATATTTTCACGTAATTCTTCTCGCAAGCAAGCATCGGTATCAAAAATATATACAGTACATAGAATATTGTACATATTGTAAATTATAAAACGCTCTGAAACTCTTCGCAAATCTACACGCAAGCATCAACCCTTTCAAAATAGTTGAAAGAACGATCAACATTTGAAATAAATATTCGAAATGAAACAATTTCTTATGGAAAACGTATCGGGAACATAGAATATCCAGCGCTTTTCATACATTTTCGAAGTGAAGTACTGTACTGTACTGTACACGATTCTCTTCACAATTGATCAAGTAAACGACGATGTTCTTTATACAATGACTCTTTTCCGAGTCTCGCTAGATTTTTTCGTGACTGATACATCCGTTTTTCTACGAATAAAATTGCATGCGTAACAACCTTTTCCTTGATATTTTCAGAGTAACTTTTGAGAATCCGTCTGTATCATCTCACACCAGTTCAGCTTCGATGCAGCGGATTTGTCCAATAACAGAAAGTGAAAAAAAATCAATTTGCAAATTTTTATAAGTGAAACAATGAGCCTACAACACTCGTCGGAAAATAAACCGTAATATCCGAAACAGAAAATTCTTGACGCATTTATTTGCACACCTTGTCGAACGCTCATAAAATGTTCGTAACCCATGCATCGATAAATAGAAACAAAACCAGCGCAGTTCTGAAATAATCGCTTGATCCAGAGTGGACAGGAAAAGAATAGGCTCATTAAAAAATGTTAAAAGAGAAAATGTAGAATTTATCGAAAACCCCCTCGACACGATCAGACGCGAATCGAAGGACGTTGCAGGGAGGCAGGTTTCTCTTCATTTCCCCGCAAGAAAAAAAAAATACCAACCACGACACGGAGCTGCCCGCAAAACTCTGTTATGCAACGCCTTGCACGCGAAAAATTCATTCCACCGGACCTGCCAATTTTTCTCGTTCGGCACACCTAACGTGCCATTTGCTCATTCCTCCTCCTAATCGTTCCATTCTCCCCCCCCCCCCCTGCCGCTTACAACGTTGCATTTCCCAACGTGGAAGAATCCCGTCTCTTACACAACGAATTGTTTCTCGGATAATGCGTCGCGACAATTGAACCCGGCTCGGGATCGTTCAGAGCAGACTACTTATGTGGAAATTTTCGCGACGAAAAAGAATTAGGTCACGCCGAAACGCTTTACAAAGCCAGCAACAATTTATTGGGTGAAATATTCAAAGATTAAATGGACATTTGGAGATATTCAATCCTGTGAACCCAATAAAAAAGCGCCGAAAAAAATCATTTCCCAAACGATGCGTCGGAAAAAAGTCTCAAAATGAAGTGAACCAGATCAGTACGGGTTCACTATTTTTTTAAAACTTTAAACAAACAGACATGCCATTAACGTATTTGAATACACTTCAGTCAGTCAATTTTGAAGCTTGAATCACTCTGAGTCGTCAGAACCCTGAATTGGATCTTTGAAATTACAAATTTCACGAAAGCTGTTCAGAGTTCACTAAAACTAGAAAGCTGTTTCGCACAATAACTACGGGTAAAATATCTCTACAACGATTTTCTCTGCATTACGATTTTTGTCTAGGTCCCATATGGGTTCTCTGAGACGAAATTATCTCTACCAAGATTATTTTTCTAATCCCCGGAATTCAGTTTTAAGGAGAAAGACCACCTGCAACTGTTAGTTCGCTTTCATCGGCACGCGCTATTTTGAGAAGCGTCATTCTGGAAACGTGCTCGATTGTTGAATGACACATTTAATGACGGGAGGGCTGGGAACGAAGCTCATCGATGCGGTAGGGATAATTATCGATAATTGGCATGAAATTCGGGAATAACCCACGAGCGAACACCAATCAAAGAAAGCGCGGAATGACGCAGCGCTTTTCCTCCCACCCAAAAAGACCCTCGCTCGATCGTTTCGTCTTCTAATAATTCATCTTCCTTCTTTTTTATTTGTTTCCCTTCTCTCTATATCTCTCGACAACTCTCACCCGTGTGTCTGTTCTCCACGAAATGAGAAAAAGGGAAATATTCGCATTAAGACTTGACACACGATCGTGCCGGTCTTCTAATGATGTATGTTCAAGAACTTCGCAGTCACCTTCCCAGTTGACCCCAAACGGCGAAGCATTCCGTGTGTGTTTNCGCGTCCCGCCCTCGCCCTTTTTTTTTTTTTTTTTTTTTCTCAGCCCGCCTCTTCGACTCATTTCACGAACCATTTTTCAATGTTTGCCCAGCGTTGGCATCTTTTCAGAGCCCACGTAAATATTCCAATGTCCGCAGCGAGAAAGGAGTCGGCACCTGGCCCAACCAAACGGATTACGTTCCTACGCTCAGAGGGAGGGCTTCCTCCAACGACCGATAATTTCCTCAACACGCCCAGAAACATTGCAGCTTTTTCGCCATCTGTGTCGTCATTAAAACTGCCTGAATATTTCACCTGGCACAAAAGCCATCTATCGTGCCTACACGGTCCATCCTTCTGGCAAATTCAAAACTGGAAAAACATGCCTCGGAACAATTCAGTACAGTCGCACCTCTTCAAGTCGACCAGCAAAAAATTGAGGATTCGAGTCAGGGAAACAATCATTTTGGTTGAAGGAAAGCGGGACGGATTACGCGAAAATAAACTGCGGTGGTATTCGACGCCTTAAATTGCCTCTTGAATAGATGCTGAATTTGAGGGCATGGGTTCATTTGTCCGATCATTCTTCAACTTTCTTACAAAACACATAAAATTGAATTTTTATCGCTTTTCCCATTCCCAGGTCAGGAAGCTAATACCCAAAAGGCCACAAGAAAATACGAGTTACCGAGGTTTGAAGAGGAAATCCTTCGAGTTAAAGGGTTCTCAATGAATTGTTTCCAAGGAAATTCAGACAGGTACTTTTAAAAAATGTGACTTCGGGAGGTACACTATTCGACTCGAGAAGGTTCGAGTTATTGATTTACATCAAATTAATATTCTTGCACGACGGTTTTTCATTATTGAAATTTATGGTCAGTTGGTTCGCAGGTTCAACAAAATTGTGAGATTCAATTTCAGGACAGGTTTTTTTTTTTTTTTTTATCCGTCACGGATTGAACTGTTCTATTTAATATTTATTGATATTCTTTCATCACGTTAGATTCAGGCTGGTCGTAATAATGATTTAAAATTTTTTTAAATTCAAATCATCAAAATTGAGCGTTCAACGGCGAAAGAATCGCGTTCATTTTTCAACTCGCTAACTATTTCGTGTCATTCGCGCGTTCAGTTAACCTGGTGAAGCTCAGTCGCAGAAATTTAGAGAAATGTTGGCATTTTCGAGCTCAACTCGTTCTTGACGGGAGAACATATAGAAAATACACGCGAATGTTTCTAGAAATCGCAATGGAAAGTGAACTCACAGCTGAGGTCTTCTGGCGACATGCCCATGATCGTCATGGACTTGACAGTTGCTTGGAACTCCTGCGTCTCGTCGATCCCAGCCACCGGTAATTGGCCCTGGCTGATGAATGCATAATTTGGCACGCTCTCCAACAAATATTCCTCTGCAAAAAGATTAAAAAGAAAAAAAAAAAACAGCCACACGAATGGAATCAGATATTATTCATCAAAGACATTCAAAAACCCGGAAAGTCGCACGTGGACTTCAAAATTTACTTGGAGGAAATATAGACGGTTTCATTGAACGAAAAACAAAAACTTAATGGTTAAAAGAAATAGAATCTATTGACAAGGAAGCCATCGTTTTTCACACCCATAGCTTATAAGTTAGTTAACTTGACCATGCATCAAATTATGTGTTATCTTGCGTTTGAATGATTTGCTGAGTTGTTAACTTATTTGTGGGTTCGATTCATCTTCCGGGGAAACAAAAAATACACCATGAACTTTTCAAGTATGCATACAGTACTGAAATGTTATCCAGCCTTGTCCCTGGCTGATTGCCGTGTTTCAATTACAGTACTTGCGTTAGTTTTATTTGAACTAATAGAAAATTTTTAGTTGAACACAACATCAGAATATCTCTGGAAAGTAGGGTTGTCTTTGTATACACTAAAAGCTAAAACTCTCGTTTCTGTGGGGCCTAGTAGGCTCAACACGACATTAATAACTAATTAGCTTCTCATTTTTAAAATAAATGATTCGGGATAATACAAAGCACAATCTGGAACGTTTACAAAGAAACAAAGCCCCCTGAAATCCTTGTCAATCTAAAAACAATTTTTTTTTTCACTGTTGACCCGCTCTGTTCCCCTAGATTAGAACAAATTATCAGGGTAATTGTTCTTCAGAATTTGCGGTGATATACAAAAGAACGTGCCACATCATCCTTCAATTTGACACGAGCTTTCAATAGCAAAGCATCTTCCAATGCATTAGATCATGAAAAATAAGAAGGCACCCGTATCATCCGAGCTCTACTGTAATTAACTTCCCACCCCTTTTTTTCGTTCAAAAATTGGTCATTCGAGTGAATACAAGGCAAAATCTTACAGTAGAGTTATTCAATAGTAGAGCTCCACTAGAGGGGCTAATATTGAGCTTTCAGAAGTACCGTATCTGATATTCAATTACAAGAGCGAAGGCATCCACATCATCTTAGTTCTACCTCCATTACCTTCTCACTTCTTTTTTTTCGCCATAAATTAGTGATTCTGTGGGTATATAGAGCAAAATTTGAATGAAAACGGATCATCAAGAGGAAGAACTCACTCCTTTGATCAGCAGTGGCCCCGAGCAACAGCTGGTAGAATATGTGGAAAGTCCTCTCGTCCTTCGCCTGACGAATGGCCCTGCTTTTCTCCAACAAATACGTTTCAATGTTCGCACCGGCAATGTACCCGCTGGCGTCGAAATTGATCCGGATAAATTTGCCCTGTCATTCGCCACGCACGCAACACAAGGAAAACGACAAAACAAAAACAAAAAATTGATAAGAAAAAATAAATAAATGCGAGCCCCGCGCACACGCACGATTTAGAGAAATTGCTTTTCAACTTACGAAACGAGAAGAGTTGTCGTTCTTGACGGTTTTGGCATTGCCGAAAGCCTCGAGGATCGGGTTCGCTTGCAACAACTGCTGCTCCAATTCCCCCTGGGTTTTGCAAGTGAAACAAAAATTTGAATCCGTTAATACCATAGAATATCTTTCCTGGTTCACCCTTTAGAGCCACACACACACACACACAAATACAAAAACCCAAGCAAACACACATGCACAAACGAAGTACAAAGCATTTCACGAGAAACTCGACACTTGAAAACATCACGGAGTCCTTCACGTCGAGAACTCCATCTTTTTATAAAATTATATGGATCTCTTGAGGGTTTCAAGTCTCGTTTCCACTGCACAACAATAAAAAAAAATTATAATAAAGTAGTAACAATAAATAGAACCAACTACCAGAGGCATTGCCAAAAACAAAAACAACCACCAACAAAAGCAAGCTCGGCTCATGGGTATACTGTACTGGGCATACACAACGCTCTTCAGCTACGTACGAATTCATGCGTATTCGTTCACGTACCGCTGAAAAATAGCTGTTGCTTTGCTAATTTGTGTTCGGACGTCCGCATCATTCCCAGCATGAAACACAAACACGCATGAAGAAAAGAAGAAGAAGAACAAGAAACCGTGAAACAGGGATAGAAGCGTTAAAACACCGATTTATGTACAAATTCATTCTTCAAACCTCCTCCGGAACGTCAATAATTTTTCACCCAAGAAAAAGGCTAGCATACAATTATTCATGATTGCCTTTAATCGAAAAGCTCAAGTTTTCAAAAGGGGGAAAACGTTTTTCACCCAAGCATCCGTTTCGAATTCATCCGCAAGAACATACGTCAACATTTCGCTTAAGTTTAATTCTCATATGAGTATTTATATCGTAATTCGACGCGCAAAATTTCATCAAGGAAATAATTTCGACCTGAGGGGCATCGAGTTCCAAAATTTTTTTTTTCCTCGCAGAATCCATCTGATAATTAACTGAACTTGGTAATTATCCATCGATCCATGATTAAATGCTGGACCTGGAAGAGGCTTTGCGGACTTGTTCGTCTAATTACCTTAGAGTAATTTCTTCAAAAGTAAAGTGTTCGTGTTCCTTCGTCCAAGTGGGGGTTCAGACTTTAATCATTCCCGATTAAAAACGTTGAATACAGCAACAGCATTCTTCCAACTCTTGAACGAAGAACTAAAACGTACCGAAAAATAACGAATTTCCGTGAACTAATAATTTAATCTCTTAAAACACTGTCAAACAAGCTTTGCAGACATGATCCGAACTTATTTTCTTCTTCAAAAATACGTGAATGATGTCCAATGTGCGATCAATAGAGTGGAACTTAGAGGACACATACGGAACATGCTACAGACTAAAAACGCTAAAATGAATACACTAAATCTCGTCGACACAAGTACCATCAAAAATATTTTTCTGTATGAAAAACTTCTTCTCTCAAGTCCTCACAGTAAGCCAATTGATTACTGGTTCAAACAAACCCGTTATACCGAACTTTCGAATTTCAGTTTTTTTTATGTCTTTGATGAATGTAATAATAGATTATCCTGGATTCTACATTTCCTGACTAAGGCAGGCACAGTCTGAAATTCCTGATCCCAAACATGACTGACTGGATCTTGTCGCTTGGATGGAAGCTGCAATCAATAACAAACGTGCTTCCAAACGGTTCCACACAAGATCCTCCCAGAAAGAGGACATTGGTGCAACTGATGGAATGCAAGATTGAAGCTAATATTTCTTAGAATTCCACTCCGTTTTTCGAACAATATTAAAAAAAAACTGAGTGCTATACAAGCAAAATCAAATCGACTATGAGAGGGCCAGATGTGAGCATTTTTCTAGTCATTAGTTTGGAAAATCTTGTCAGGACAAATTATTCAGTACTGTATAACAAACTTTTTCTGAAGAACCTCAAAAATTTGCTGCGACGATATTTTACTGTACTGCATGTCCAAGCCATTCGTCTTCGATTTACTTGAAAAGACTCAAAGACGCAAATTGAAAATAACGCGAAATTTTCCGCCGAGTAATAATATTAATTTATTAATTGACCATGGAGGACATTGAAGGGGTTTCGTAGACTCGGTCGTCCATCCTTTCAATAATTTTTAACAGCTTTTTTTTTTCAATATGACGCCAGAGTGCGATCAATCAAAGCGAAGGAAGAAAATTCTTTTCTCAGGTAAGAAGCACACAAAAAGAAAACGAAAAAAAACATCAACCTTCTTCAGAGCGAGGCTCGTGACGATTCATCATCACCCAAACAAAACGCCTAAAACGCCAAGTCACTGTAAATGGTAAGCGGGTGGGGGGAACATATGAAGAGACAAGGACTGGGCGTCACAACTAATCCCACAGGCCCGTTTATTGAGGGAGACACATCATCTGCACTCATTACATTCCCAATTCAACCGCCCACACGTGGATGAGACATTTTCCAAGAACATCGGACTAGTTGCGATCTTACCCAAAGACTCAGATTCGAATGCCAGTATTTTTCAATCTATTTTTTTTCTTTCAATTTTTTTTTTTGGGATCGTGGAAGCATTGACACTAGGCGAGGACCCAACGTGGGATGTTGACAAGGAAATACAGTGAGACCCCAAGATGCGGACATAATTGGTGCATCAAGATTGTCCCCAAGTCAAAATGTCCCAAAGTCGAGTCTTGTTTTCCCATAGAATTACGTTACACAATTTTTAAGTGGCGTTTTGTGGAAGAAATATTCTTTGTAATTCCCTGAAAAAAAATTTTTGCCGCTTGAATTTGAATTAGTGAATACATTTTCAACTTCATAAGAACATTTGGAGCATTCAATAGTGTATCTCTGTACTGTA